TGACCTCACTGCCAAAAAATTCAGATATTTTCACATCTGTGAAATTTTAGCAAATGTTGCTGAAATTTCAAAATTCAACTGACACGCATCAGAACTTCCAAAATCATGATTAAGACTGTTGTGAAATTTTATTTGATATATTTTTAAAGAAAAGAAGCGTATGTATGAACGTATGTCACATTTTATTTTAACAATTTGGTAACTAAACGTATCCAATTGGTTTGCATTATAATCCTATGCATTTAATTGTGTGCACACATGTGCGCGTTCCTGGGGATTGACCCAAAGGAGCGCTGGGCTACATCCCCAGTGTTTTTTAATTTTATCTTGAGGCAGGCTCTTGATAAACTGCCCAGGCTGGCCTTGAACCTTCATCCTCCTGAGCAGCTGGAATTATAAACATGTGCCACCACACCTGGCTTTATTGTTTTTTAAATGGTGAAACACGGTTATGTTTAGAATAAGCCAGCTGGCGTTAAGTCTAGACGATCCCAACATTCAAAGCTTCATAATCAAGAGCCAGGCAAGCAGATGCCTTCTTCTCTCCATCAGGCCTATCAGAGTGATGCTTTGCCCACATCAACGCCAGAGAGTAGCTTCACAGCTTGCTTGCTCCGGTGCTTCTTGGTCTTGACACACACAATGAACACAAGCGTTTCACTGTCTTCTGTCTTCTGTCTTCTTCAAGGCCGACTCCACCATGAGGGGCCCCTTGATGACAGCAAAGTGATCAGGCTTGTTTCCACGGGCGGCGATCCTCAGAGGCCATCAGAGCTGGCTTCATGGCCATGTTGTCTTGGACCACCAGACGGCAGAGGATGTGTGATGTGTATGTGCACGCGCGCGCGTGTGTGTTTGTGTGGCTGTGGACACCCTGTACCACTCCTTGGCCTTCAAAGCATTTGCTTTGGCTTCAACTTTGGAAGGGCCAGGGGTTTCCTTACTCACTTTTGATGCCATGTTGTTGAAAAAAATCTTAATTTCATGCTTTTAAAATCATTAGCCTAAGAAAGAAACACTGTAAACCTAGCGAAAAGACACAGTCAGCAAAAACTGGAATATGGAAAACTGTATGACAAATGAACTATTTCTTCAGAAATAAACTGCAAGCAACTGGCCAACTTAGCAAGAATCTGTCTCAAAATAAAATGAAAAGTGTTGGGGGTGTAGCTCCATGGTAGAGCACTGGTCCAGCATGTGGAAGGCCCTGTATTCAATCCCCAATCCAATCAATCAATCAATCAATCAATCAGTCAAACACACTGCAAGCAAAACAGTGAGAAAGAGCCAAGCATGATGGCATGCACCTATAATCCCAGCTACTCAGGAGGCTGAGGCAGGAAGACCCCAAGTTCAACACCAGCCTCAGTAACTTAGCAAGAAGATCCAGTCTCAAAATAAAATAAATACAAAGGGCTGGAAATGTAGCTCAGTGTGAAGGCTAGGGATTCAATCCTCAGTACCACAGGGAAAAAAAAAAAGTGGTGGAGGGAAGCCCACAGAAAGAAAGGGACATAGATACAACTCATTAAAATGTGTGGGCATTACTTGCATCTTGATTTAATAAATTATCTAAAAAATTATGAGATGATTGAAGATATTTGAATATAAACTGGCTATTGGATATTAAAAAATTATTGTTAATTTTTAGATGAGACGATATGATTGCTTTTTAAGTCATTATGATTTAGAGATGACTCATGAAATATTTATGCATAGAATTATATGATACCTGAGATTTCCTTTAAGATCATCCATGAAGGAAGAAACAGAGAGGTATGAATGAAATAAGATGAGTTAATGACATTCATTGAAACCACAGTAAGGAACAGCCTCTACTTTTATTTAAAAGTTCCCACAATAAAGTTTTTTTTAAAGCCTAACAAAAACTTAACACTTACCCACGATACAGTTTTTCAGACACATCAAAACAACACTTCTATTTGCTTTCGGCTATAATTATACCAACCAAGTGTGGTAACACTCATTTTCTTGTGCTAATCAGAAGTGCTAGTGTCTGATTAGTTGAAAGACAGAAAGAAAAAATAATTCATTACTTAACAAACACAATTACGGGAGTGAGGTGTTAAAATCTTTCAAAATGTAGGATTACTGGGAAAAAAATGATAAAAGGATTTCATGATGGTGGAAAAACCTGAAGTCTACTGGTCTAATATAACATGCCTCAAATAATTTTAGATAGTATATGTGTTTGGCTCCCTCAGCAAGGTAGTAGACTCCCGAAAAGCACAAACAATGTCACGGTCATCTTTGTTTGTCCTGTGTGTGAATCAGTACAAAGCTAGCTGGGTTGCTGCAAAAGTTAAAAAGTGATACCCCATAAAGCTAGGGTTCCTGAAGACTCTATTAGCCCACCTACAGCAAATGGATTAGAAAAATTTTAACAGGTTATAAGAAATCATTTTTCAGCGTTACTTAAAAAGGAGTCAGCCCCAAAGTGACCACTGGAAAGTATTCAACTTAAAAATTAAAATGTAGGCACTGGAGGCGTAGCTCAATGGGTAGAGCACCTGCCTGGCATGTGCAAGGCCCTGGGTTTGAAATCAGCCTTGCAAACATGAAAATAAACAAAAACATAAAATGTAAAATAAGTTACAGTGCATAGTAAATTGGGACAACGTAATAGTGATTAAAGAGTGTTAAACTCCAGGCTTTTATAGGTAAATGGATGCAACGAGAGACCATACTCATAAGTGAAATAAATCAGACCCGCATGTGTGAACATCGTATTGTCTCTCTAGTGTAAGAAACTGAAAGAGTAAATAACATACAAAAGGTACAACAGATATTGTGAGAGGGAAAGAAACTGCTCAAAAGGAAAGAACAACTGGAATGGAGGAAAGGAGACAAGAAGGAAGGGAAAATTAATATATATTTTATATATATATATACACATAAGATAGAATAATTGTAGTACTAATTTCTATTAGTTCACTTAAAGGAACAGTTAGTGCTTATACTGTTTGATCAATTTTGCATGCCTATAGCTTATACTCTGAGCAACTACTTTGAATAAGATAACAATATGCAACATAATAACAATTGTTAACTTCCTATGCTCTTGTTTTGAAATTGTGTGTCCTTTTTGTTGGGTGTTTTCATCTCTTTAAAATAAAATTTTTTTGAGTGATAGTGATGTGCTCTGCTATACAATATGAATGCTAGAAAAAGTAAATTTGGCAAGTTATAGAGACTCCTCCATTAACAAGACTTCATATCTGTCTGGAAGGCAGACGTCACGTGGGGAAGACGAGATTTCGGGAAGTGGTGGCCGGCTGGGAATGCAGCTCAGGGGCAGAGTGCTTGCCTAACATGCGAAAGGCCCTGGGTGCAGTATCTCCAGTGCCATGAAAAGGAAAAAAAAGTGGAAGTTATGTGATTTCTTTGGTCCTTGTTTTAGATTTACCAAGCAACTTAGCTCTTAGGTTTCTTATGCAGGTTTTTCTGTTGGGATGATTTCATTGTGACTAGCTGTCAAGCTTAGCAGTGATAATCTTCATAAGTTAATGCCTGTGTTTTCAAATTAAAAGCATGTCTGAACAGCAAGATCCACTTGTTCCAGAACCTGGCCACCCTCAGGTGAACAGATCTTCATGTTCTGACACACAGAACTGAAAAATTCCAGCAAGGAACAGGAATCCTGAGGTTCAGATGTCAGCCTTACCTACAACTCCAGAAGCATATTCATAAAGTCTTGTCAGAACCATAGTCTCTGTAGTGGATTGACAACTGGTGGTCAACTTATAACCCCCAGCTGAACTGAGTAAGCATGGTGCTGGGTGGGGGGGGCCCACCTGGGGACTGTTGCCAGTTAGGCTGCTGGGAGCGGAAAAAGGCTGCTGGAGCTGGTGGAAGCTGTAAGGAGCTATTGGTTCTGTGGGACAAGCTTGTCTTGCTGGCTTGCCTACTGAACTTGGTTGTTTTCATCCTCCGAGGAGCTCAGGACGTTGCTGGCACTGAGAATGGCTTTGGTTCACTTTGGGGAGCTCTGGTCCTCACTCTGGAAATCACTTCTGGGATGATGGTGCACTGCCGGTCTCCTGGAGAAGCTTGCTATGTTAGCTTCCCTGAAGGGAACTCAGCCACCTTGATCATTGGAGGAGCTCGGGACCTCACTGTTGCTGAGGATGGCTGTGGTACCTTTCAGGGGAATTCTGGTTCTTCTGAGCATCACTTCCTGGCTCCAGTGCAGATCCCTCAGCCTGCTAGCACAGCTCCTTCATCCCGCTAGCACAGACTGTGTAGATTCTCCCACTGACCTTTGGGCCTTCCCAGTGCAGATCTATGAAACAGGCCTGCCTGAGATATTGTTATGGGCTCTGGGATTCCAGTTCAATTTGTGGGAGGCACTGTTATGAGCTCTAGGTCTTAAGTTGGACTCATGCAGGACATTATCATGGGATCCAGGCCCTCAGCTGGATTCTTGGTCTATGTTGTGTGGACAGATTTCCTGCACTCTCTTGTATATCATTCTTTGGGTGACTATTATAAATAATCTTATAAAATATGTGTCCTCTATTATACTGTCTCTCCTTGCAAAATAAGCCCCAAACCAACACAGTCTGATATTAATGAAGCAATAAAGCAAGTTTTGAGCCAAGCTTGGGGGTGCATCGCTGTAATCCCAGCACTAGGGAGGCTGAGGCTACATAGTAAGTTCAAGCCCAGCCTGAACTACACAGACATTGTCCCCAAAAGCAAAACGAAACAAAATAGAAAAACCAAGCTTTTCTAAAAATCACCCATAAATCATAATACCAGTTATATTTCCTTATAGTCACCATTATTATACAGAGTAATGGAGCAGGACAGTCCCGATACTGGCAAAACATATTTTTCTCTGCTGATCTTCATAGCGCTGTATGTCCCGTCGCACTTCTTAGACGGGAGGAGGCGGGAAAGTAAAACAACTCTGCAAGGTTGTTTCACATTACAACAGAGAAAAGCAAGCTGCGTGTGTGTCTCTACCCAGCACTTACACCTTCACCCTCTGCACGGCATTCCCAGCTCTGTCAGTTCCTGCACCTGCTTCGTTCTGTTCCGAACCTGCGGGAAAAGAAACCTTAGCACCAAGGACGCTAGAATCCGCGACTTTATACATCGGTTTGCCCGACTGCAGCTTGAAAGAACCAGAGAATTTTTAAATTTTTGTTCATTTTGAGAGAATGAGGACAGAGAAGAGAACAGGAGAAAACAGTGACCACAGCTTTAGGAAACTTCTGACTTATTTTAGATCCTGCGCTAACTCGGAATCACGGCTTCACGGCTCACCTTCCCTCTTTTATTTTTCCGGCAACCTCCTCCTACCCTGTAATCCTCCGCTGACATTCAAGGTCTCCAAGCTGCTGATGTAAAGCCCCCGAATCTGCGGTGGGGCAACTATCGTCGGATATTATTTATTTATAACGTTCATGCTAATGGGCCTCATCAGAACACTTTGTGTTTTATAGCGCCTCCTAGGTTACAAAATCTTTCCTACACCTTACCATGATTTTTGACCCTTTCGCCAGCACTGTGGTGTTACAGACAAAGAAACTGAGGCTAGGAGAGGGGAAATGATGTCCGTAAGCATCAGAACGACGTGCCAAATACAAACCCACTAGACCTAAGCAGGGTGCTTACATTCTCCGTGACGCTGTCAAAATAACTTCAGATTAGAGGATGTATCCTTTCTCCCCTCTTACCAAAAAGCTGATGAAAATGAATGAAACTGCAAACTATACAGGCTAAGTCATACTAATGCCATCTCTTTCAATAAATGCCTGACCTTTTATCCGATCACTCAATATTATTTCAATACTCTTTCTCCATTCTATATAATATATCCCATAATAACTAAGGACTCAGTTATCATAGAGTTATACTCATTTTACATTTTACTTGGAATTTTGTGTGCAAACATATACTAACATACTCCAATCAGTTTAATAAATACCGTTCACACTACAACATGCACAGCCTTCTGCTATGCCTGGCAAACCCTCTAGAAAAGTGGAATTAAGCAAAAAATCAAAAGCAAGCTGGGCGTGGTGTTACACCTGTAATCCCAGCACTCAGGAGGCTGAGGCAGGAGGATCACTGTGAATTTGAGGCCAGCCTGGGCTACATAGTTAGTTCAAGAGCAGCTGAGCTCAAAAAAAAAAAAAAAAGAAAAAGAAAAAGGATAGTAGTTGAAGGGGCCAGTAGTCAATGTCTTAAAACCTGAAAACATATACACAGAGAGGATACTGTGGAAAAAGGGCAAAAACCACCTGAGGTATTTGGAGGTAACTGTCTCTAGACGGAACAGAACACACATGGTAAACGCAGCCTTGCCTGGAGCTGGTCTATCTCCGGAACACGCACATCAAGGTTTTTCTTGTATCTTTTTCAGGACAGGGCTTTGTGGTAGCCCACTATACCAAGCTTCTACTTTAAGGCCAGAACACGTGAGAACTTTTCTTGCCTGCTTAGTGGTCAAAGGTTAGCCCTGGAAAGCAACTTCAGCGGCCCACAGTGACTTTTTTTTTTGTCTTTTTGAGACAGGCTCTCGCTATGCAGTTCAGGCTGGCCTTGCGCTCACTTTGTAGTCCAGGCTGGTCTCAAAGTCACCACGATTCTCCTGCCTCAGCCTTCCGAGTGCTGTGATTACAGGCATGCACCACCACGCCCAGCTCACAGTGACTTTTATCATCATCTCCTAATGCTGCCCAATCCAATTCAGCAGTATGGTGTTAGTACCCACCAGGATCCTAGCACTGTGTCAGGCTCTGAGAATAAGAGAAACAGAGCTCTTGACTTCATGGAGTTCATAATGCAGCAGTGAAAAAGAAGATAAAGAAACAACGCGAAGTGTGGTAGGAGACAGACAGGTAGGTTAGGATCTAACCTAACCTGGGATTTCACAGAAGCCTTTCTGCATGCAGTGATACTTCATCTGAGACTTGAAGAATGAGGAGTTGTTCAGATCAAGAGAAGCGGTACAGGAAATTTGTACCAGCAGAGGGCCAGCATCCATCAGGTGACCACAGCCTGAAGATACAGCTCATCCAGAGGGGTCAGAGGTTAGCTAATCTCTTTCAAACCTGCGGTACAACGGGAACAGAGTCAGTAGCAATTCTTGGCTGATTATTTCAAAGATGGAGTATGGACCAAAGGCTGAGGGGGAAGAGCTGAAAAGGTTTCCTGGATATTTTATGAATTATGGCTACATTTTTACCAACATCCAGGCCATCTCATTGCTTTGCATTCTAAAGCTATTTTTTTTTTTAATTGGAACCAGTTTTAGGTTCTGTCACTGAATGTGGAAGGGAGAATAACAGCCTTCCAAAGACATCCATGCGGTTTCCACAACCTAAGAATACGATACCGTACAGGGCACAAGTGACTTTCCAAATACGATGAAGGTTAAGGACACTGGAGCTGGGGAGCTCATCACACAGTCTCAGCTAGGCCTACTCTAATCACATGAGTCCTTATCCAGAAGAACCTTCCCCAGCTTCAGTCAGAGGGAGATGGGACAGCTTGAAAGAGGTCAAGAGGTGAGGAATGCAGGTGGCTCTCAAAGCTGGAAAAGACCAAGAAATTGATTCCCCCCTCCCTGAGCCTAAAAAAATGCAGCCCCACTGACACTTTGACACTATATCCTCCTTCTGATCTAAGAACAGTAAGATAATACATTTGTATCGTTCTAAGTCACCAAACTTTTGGTACTTTATTATGAACTGCAATAGCAAACTAACACAGTTAAGTCAATAACTTGGGAGATACTTTAAAACAATAGTTGAATCATAACGTTGTAACTACATTCATCTCAGTGAATTTCTCTGATAGGAAGATAATCACATCAAATGAGAGTCCATTAAATAAATGTGGGCAAAGCTTACCAGAAGCTACCAGGAGTTAAAGCACTTTTATCATCTGCCAAGGAGAAAATAAAATCTTGCCATCAAGCCAGAAACTCTACTGAACTACTCTGATGCAAAATGACAAAACTTAAAGCTGCAGATTCAATGATTTCTTCTCATACTTCGAGCCTGCACGAAGTACATCCTTAGGTAGGAAAACAGGGAAGCATGGTAGCACTCCTACCCAGTACAGCGACAGGAAGCTGGGACGTGCCAGTCATTGTACCGAGAGCTCTTATATATATATATTAACTTACTGAATTTTCATATAACACTGCAAAGCAGGAATGGTTTTGCCAAAGGTCAAGTCTTTCTGCCCTCAAAGTTCCAGTCTTTTAACCAAGTTCATCAGGCAGATAGCAGCACAGAATTAAAATCCACTGATGATTTAAAGCCTGTCTATGGTCTTCCCATTCTGCCAGGTTAAGAGAAGGAAATAACTAAGTAACTAAGAACAAAGACAGTAAGAGACCAGTACCCACAACAGTAATCTCTAAATTCCTATGGTATTTTGGCTATAACCCGTTTTTCCTTTTTTTTTTTTACACAGGGTCTTGCTATGCAGTTCCAGCTGGCCAGGAACTCACTATATAGCCCAGGCTGGCCTCAGACTCACAGTGATCCTCCTGCCTCACCCTCCCAAGGTGCTGGACTTACAGGTATGTGCCACTACACCCAGCCTCTTTTCCCATTTTCTGCATTCTACCTGCAATGTTTTATGTGTTGCCTTTGCTTCACCAGGTTATAAATGCAGCAACTGTGTTATGAATATTTTGACCCCTGTCATGGTGTGTGTCTAGATGTCCTCCCAAAGCCTCATGCAGTCATGGAGCGGGCTTCTAGAGTTTTTGATTGACTCATGGTCCAATGGGATTATGGTTGTGAGTGGCAGGGTGCACAGCCTGCATACTATACAAGGGAGGGAAAGAGGCTTGTTTGCAGCTGCTCCTCCCTTTTTGCTCCTGCTGCTTTTGCTGTTTTCTGCCACCATGAAGTGTTCCCTCTGCCATGTGCCACTCTGCCTTGGAGCCAGCCAAGTACGGACTGGAACCTCCACAAACCGTGAGCTAAATAAACCTTTCCTTCCTTAATTTTGGGCATCAGGTATTTTGTCTCAACAATGACAGAAAACTAACCAAGACAACCACTTCCCCCTTTATACACATAGCCACCAAAAACATGTAAGAATAACAGGGACGGTAATAATAATAGCTACTACATCTCATACTTATTGTATGTATGCTACACACCAAGCACTACTCAAACAGTCATAATTCACAGTCCTAATTCATTTAATCCAACAATCCTATGAGGTAGTATAATGTTACTGTTGCTATCTACAGATAAAGAAAGACACAGAGATGTCAAGCAGTTTGCCCAATGTCACACAGCTGGCAAATGACAGAACCTGAAAAATAACCCAAACAGTGCAACTCCGGAAGCACAACCCATAACCACTGCTACACTGCCAGAACACTACTTGCATCTGCTAGGGACTTTCTTTGTATCCCAAGAAGAACAAGGTGGCTTAATAAAAATGAATTTGTGCTGGTTATCACGCCAAGTGCTTACATAGTTCACTTATATGCACAAAAATCTCTCCCGAGATAGAGATTATTTGTACAATTATACTGCCGAGAAACTGAATTTCAGTTTTTCAGAGAAATAACTCATTCCAGGTCAGATAATTAGAAAATTTTCGTTTTTCCTGGCCCACACCCTGTCTTCCTGATAATAACAATAATAAAATATATAATATGAAGAGTATAACACCACCTAGAGAGATCAATTGATTTAATTATGTTGCATCTCTAACAATCAACATTTATTAGCACAACCCATTTGATGATATGTTCTATGGCTTTTTGTGGTTGTTTTGTTTTTGCATTACTGGGGATTGAACCCAGGACCTTCACGCTTAGCTCCATTCCCAGTTCTTTTCTTCTTTATTGAGACAAGATCTCACTAAATTATCCTCGAGAGCCGGGTACGGGTGGCACACAGAGGAGAACTGCTGCGAGCTGGATGCCAGCCTGGGCTGCAGAGCGAGACACTCTCAAAAAAAATAAAATTAAATAAAATTAAAACGTATAAAAAAACTGTCCTTGAACTTGAAATCCTTCTGCCTCAGCCTCCCAAGTGCTGGGATTACATTCCTGT